TTAGAACATAGCAGGCCGTGAGCATGGTCTCTCCCCAAAACCCTTCACTCAAACCCAAGTAGGAAAGCATGGAATTAACCATTTCCTTTAACACTCGATTTTTCCGTTCGGCCAAACCATTTTGTTGTGGTGTATACAGAGCCGTGGTCTCATGAATGATTCCAACAGATTGAAAATAATGGGGATCCATATATTCTCCTCCCCGATCAGTCCTAAGACATTTAATTGGATTACCCAATTGCAATTCAACCTCGGTTTTATACACTTTAAATTTCTCTAAAGCTTCATCCTTGGTGTGTAATAAATACACATAACAAAACCGAGTCGAATCATCAATAAAAGTAACAACATACTTTTTATTGCCAAGGGAAGGAGTTGAGTGAAAGTCACATAGATCACTATGTACAAGATCCAAAATAGCCGAATTCCTTTCAACATTAGGAAACGGTTGTTTTGTGATCTTAGTAAGCATGCAAGTCCTACACTTATCATCATTAATACCAAAAGCAGGAATTAAACCATCTTTAGACATTTCATGCATTTTTCTAAAATTAATGTGAGCTAGTCTAGCATGCCAAATCATACAATCATTCATGGAAGATGCCACAAAAACAGAATTATCACTAGGAATTAATTTATTCACAACATTTAAACGAAACATGCGATTTGATAATTATCCAAAACCAACAAACACACCACCCTTGGACAGAATATATTTATCGGATTCAATCACTTGTTTGAACCCTAAATTATTCAACATACTTCCCGAAACAAGATTCTTTCGAACCTTCGGTACATACAAAACATCAAACAACGTAATTGTTTTCCCAGAAGTAAATTCTAAAACAACTACACCCTTTCCCAAGATAGGCACCATTGACTCGTCTCCCATGCGTAATAAGGAACTGACCTCCACTGGTTCTAGGTCTTCAAACCATCCTTTATCCTTACACACATGGCTCGTAGCCCCCGAGTCAATCCACCATGCACAGTCATCATCCTGTACATAAAAAGATTCTGGAATGAGTGATACATAATTCTGGACAGAATTATCAAAGTTAGTCAGGAACTGACCTCCTTTCCGTGGAACCAGGTCCTTAGACCGTTCCTGTCCACTGCCACTCGTTCCAGCGCCATTCTTGTTCAGTTTCACACGGCAATCACGCTTGACATGTCCAACCTTTTGACACCTCCAACAAACCAAACCTTTCAGTTTCTTGTTGGGTTTGTCATGGTCTTCATACTTGCGCTTTTTGCCTTTCCCCTTATCTTTCGGGTTAGATTTATTATCCTCAACCAAGTGAACATGAGCCATTCTAGATTCAACTTCACCCATAATTTGGTCATTCTCTTGCACACGAAGATTCTCCTCAATGCGCAAGTGACTCCCAAGTTGAACCAAGGACAGTTCCTCATCTTGATGTTTTAAAGAACGTTTAAAATCCTTCCAAGAGGGTGGAAGTTTGTCAATTATACTCGACACGGCATAGGACTCATCAACACCTATCTTGTGGAGTTTAAATTGACCAAGAACACGAAGGAGTTCATTGTATTGTTCCATAACCGGCCTTGAGTCAACCATTTTATAATTATTAAAATCACTCACCAAGAACTTCTTACTAGAAGCATCCTCGGCTATGTATTTTGACTCAAGAGAATTCCACAATTCCTTAGCACTCTCAACGTTTTGGTAAATATCAAATAATGCATCGGACATACCGTTAAGGATGTGGCCTCTACATATGTAGTCATCGTTCTCCCACTTGTTGCGCCTCCTAGTTTGTTCCAAGGTTTCGTCCTCCATCACTTCCGGCATTGGAGTGCTCAACACGTACACAACCTTCAACGTGGTGAGAAGAAAGTGCATCTTCTTCTGCCATCTACGGAAATCGTTCCCTTGAAACTTGTCTAATTTGTTGAACTTGGACGTCATCTCTTCCACGGTACTCATGATTATCACAAAAGGAATATCAATTCGATTGTTGGGGTAAATCACGTAGGGGGTGATAATTCGAGTACTTGGATATCTTAAGGATCGTGTAAGTTCACTTTCCGAATTGATATTTCTCCCCTATGCCTGGGTTACAAGAAATTCAATCTAGGATAATCCTTAAGGACACTCTAGAACTTAGGCACAAGAACTAGAGCCAAACTAGTGAGTATATGGATTGCTATCTTTAATTTGAGTGCCAAAGTGATGAAGATATGTTGGATATGATTCCTCTTCCTCCTCTGTACGAAATATGGTGGTATATATCCATATTCATCGTCCTAGGCAGTAGTAACACGATTAAGAATAACCGCAGCAGTTTTTGGGAAACTACTGGAAACTGCCTAACCGTTCTAGAACTCGGTCTAGAACCACAGAGCTGGTCTACTGAAAGTTATACCTCGAGTTCTACCTCGAGTTCCACTAACGTAGACACTTTGGAACTAAATTAGTTCTTATATACAAGTGTGCACTCCACACCTACTAACTTGTATTAGATCATAGTTCTAATTCCCATTGGCACTCATGTCATTTCCAATTACACAAAATGGCCGGTGACACTAAAATCACCAACAGTAATTTATGTAGAGAAGATGACAAAGTAATGATATCCATGTAAGGTAAGAATAACAGTAGTAGTAACACTTGCCAAATTACCAAATGGAACAAATAAAAAAAATCACAAAAAGGTGAAAGGAACAATTAAATAAAGGGTATTTCCTTAAATACGACTGATTGAAACTCATTTCCTAAAAAGTGACTACTTTCACATATGGACAAAAATGCAACCAAGTGATTAACAAGGTAATAAATTTGAATATACATGATGCCACCGTCATATTTTTATGTCCGTACTAGATTTTCATGTCATTAATGAATGTCAATGCTATTGTGAAACATATCACTATGACTGGAATTTTCTGAAGGACTTTCTGGCAAAATTTAAAGCAAAAACTGAAAAAACAATAAAAATCACCCAAGTTGTCCAGCAACTTTTTGGCGGCAGTATCTGGCGGCTGGGCAGGTGTGGGTGGGGCCAATGAATGGATATAAATTTCAATAAGAAAATTTGGATTAATTAAACATAAGGTTTGTCATATATCTCGAAAAAAAGAAACCTAGCCAATTTTTTTTGTTGCATTTCACAAGCTATAGGTAATATTTGTGTCCCTTTTCTTTAAATTAATAAGGAGTAGTATTTTACTAGCTAAATCAGATTTTTATTTTCCATTTTCTTTTGGATTCACTTTTGTTCATGCAGTGAAACACAGAAGAGTGAAACGAAAGAATCCAGCAAATCAGAAATCAATCCTGTGGTGGGCTTAATGAAGTCCTTCTATACTGCTTTTGTAAAATTCTGGACTTAAGAATGATGATACATGAATGTATCTACTCCAAATTTTGGCTGGATGAGCTTGTATTCCTGACTTCCTTCCCAGTAAAATCTTTGTTAGATTATTATGGCTTTCCAGAAGTAACAATATATGTGAATATACATCTCAATGTTTGTGTACATAGTCGAGACGGTCCGGTTTGGTCCTGTGGTCAGATGAGTCTCGACCGCCTTCATATGCTCGGTGTGGCATATCTCAACGGACGGTGGAGAGATGGTCCATGGTTGGGATCTGATCCAATGGTTCCCAGAAGAGGATCTTTTGATTCCTTACTTCTTTCCTTCTAATTGTGATTTATTAGATTCCACAGGATTAGAGACTAGGAGATGAAGAAAGAACATAGGATTCTATTCCATGCTCCCAGAATCTGCATTGTCCTTGAGACAAAGAACACATGGATCCCAAAATGGAATGCCATCTCTTCTGGCTATCGCTTTCCCTTCTCTGACCATTATTAATGCCTCTTGCCCATCTTCACCATTTCAAGGCAGACAGCCGTATCTTTCTTATTTACGGTCTTGCGGCTAATTTAAATATAAAAATATATTTGAATTTTCTACCCTACACTCAGATCAGAAGATTTAACTGCATCTGTTTTTTTGTAGCTTGTGAAGAGTACACTTGTAATAACTCCCTAAAACTGTACGATTATTATTGTTTTTTAGTATTCAACTCTCTGAACAACTTCACAAAACATTTTGCCGTATTATTTTATTCGGTACCACCAATGTTCTAAAAGGCGCTAGGCTCTAGTCGGGCGCCAGTGCGGCGGCTAGGCGGGCGCCTAGGCGGGGACTAGTCGAAGATAAAGAAAATACATTTTATCTATATTTTTGCATAAATATGATAAGTAATATTGTATTTTTGTGTGTATAAAATACATATATACATTAACAAACATGAATGATAGAATTATCACATTTAATCATACGTAGTATATAATCACTCATCACTTAACTTCATTATGTTATAAATATGAATAATGATGAAATTTAGGTATATATAGAAACATATATAGTTTTATCTTAATTTATAACTTCATTTCTTTATATCTATGACTAAAGCTAAAATACGTATATTGTTTAGAAAATTGAAATTAAAAAGTAAAGTAATGTTTAGCGAATCAAGACGGTCTACACGGCCGATTAGGCGCTCTAGGCGGGCAACAAGGCGCCATAGGTGGCCAACTAATTCATCTAGATGGCAAACCAATTAGTCGGAGCGCCTAGACAAAAATCAAGGCGCCTAGACAAAAATCAAGGCGCCCGACCACCGCCTAGCGCCTAGGTGGGGACTAGTCGGATGCCTAGGACGATTTTTAGAACAGAGAGTACCACGAAAGCAAGCATTTTCTTAAAATAAAATTAAGGTTTAGTTGCCGATAGTTTTTGTATTCAACTCTATTAATCATTTTTTATCAGATACGGAGTACTATTTTTTTTTAAATATGTGCGTTGATAGATTGGGTACTTGTGGCTGAAACTACCAAGATCTTTTCCTTATTTTGTTAATAAAAAATATTTTAAATAATTTTGTATAGATTAAGAAAATTCAGTCCATTCATTCCTAACTAAAGCTAGTTTAGCATATGAAAGAATGACCTTAAAATATTTATACGGAATTAGCCAGTGTGAGTTTACGGAATTAGCCTCAGCACCTATTGTTACGGATGTTGTCCTTCATCTTCCTACCTACGGCCATAGCTCTCCCAATTTCTTGCATCTTCATTCACGGTTCTCCCTCTGACATTCTCCGCTTCACCTGCAGCCGCCTCCGCCCGCTGTCTTCGTCGCCTGTCGCACCATTGACTACGTCCCTCGCCGCCATCCCAATCGCTTTCTCTTTATTCTCTTTCTGTCAGATCCCATGGATGGCGACGATTCCCGCGATTGAGAGCGAAATAGTCTAACCCAAGCGCGTTATTGTACAGGTGTGGACAACTCTGGCAAAGCTACGGTTTCCCTATGGTGGCTCGGTTGGAGACTGCTAATTCTAGACTGCTTCGGCGGCTATGATTTGTAGGTTATGGTCGGCCGGCGGCAGGCTAGGGATATGTGAATCGGGGCTGGGATGGGCTCGTTGGATTTGGATCTGGAGAGGGGGGCAGGCCACAGGGGTCAAGGTGTGGGCTGGGGGACAGGGGGTTGGGGCAGGGGAGTTGGAGTTGGGGTAGGGGCGTGGGGCAGGAGACAATAGGCTGTTTGTGGCGTGGGCGCGGAGCAACGCGGTGCGGCGGCGATGTTGCAGTGGTCGTGGTGTCTGCGGCACTGTCACTGTAGCTTTTTATGAGAAAAATGTCGCCGAGCAATTTGTAACTGTAACTGTAATTATTGGGTTCAGTAATTGTAATTAATCAGATCAAGTAACTGTAACTGGTTAAATTGGAATTAATTGGGTCGAGTAACTGTAACTGGTTGTTGGGATATATTATCCCGGCCTATTACTGTTCAGGAGCCCAAGACATTATCCAGTACGGAGCCCGAGCAGCTAGGCCCATTTCGGCCCATCCGGCCCACTTTGACCACCAGGCCTGATATCGGCCCGTTTGGCCCATTAGGGTGGAGAGCCCCTTCTCTCCTTCCCCTATAAATACGGAGCTTAGCCTCCATGTAAAGGATCCCCTTTTTCCTTTCTTCTTCTCCCTCCTTAGCTAGATTAGAACTCCATTAATGGGAGCTTCAAACAAATTGTACTATGTAATGGTGAGGAGAGTCCTAATGAGAAAGAGAGGGCTTGGACATTAGCCTAAAAAGTCCCGTGGTTTTCTCCCTTTCGGGTTTCCACGTAAAAACTGAGTTGTTCATACACATTTATACATATATTTACTATATCGTGTTGGATTAAACTCAACACTGGCGCCGTCTGTGGGAATCTGTTCAAAAAGATTCATGTGTTCTATGAAAAAATCATATGAAATGGACTGATTCCAGCAAAAAAAGAAGAAAAATGGATTCTGAGAAGTTCTTAGACCTAGTAAGAATCGGAAGAAATAACGATTGCCGACCCAGTCCGGCCGCGACGCTGCACCAAGACGGAGGTGGAGTGCGAGCTCCGCCCTCCAACTTCGTCACCCAGTCGCAGCTCCTCCCTCCAGTCGCGGCACCGGCGGACATCGTCGCAGGGGCTCATCAACTTCACCGAGCTCAAGGAGGGGACATTTTGAAGCTCTGTCGGACTCCCACCGGAGGCCGGCCTCCGTCGCCGTCCTTGCACCTTCGGCGACCTTCACTGACAACTGCCAGCAAGCGGCCAGCAGGTGGACAGCACTTCGGTTTGTTCTTGGTTGGAAGCAAGCCACGTCGTGGAAGGAGGGATGTGGACCAAGTCCTCATTTGGGGATTGACGAGCTTCGCATTAGTCATCATGTGGGAAAGTGATTGTTGACTCGGTCAACATATATTCCTTGGGGCATTCCAAGCCGAGACGTACGCTACAAGAGCTAAGTTTCACAAAAAACCTTCACCATTTGCTAATTTGAGTATTAATTGGAATAATGTTCCTTTACTATTATTATTTTATCACCATTATTTATTAGGGATTAGAATCTCCCAAAATTAAATAATGTCGAGCGACGCTCTTGTGATAATTAGTTTTCACCATCATTTTAATTAATGATTGGTTGTTATGGGCCCGTCGGCCCGCTCCTGATCGGCTTTAATTAGCGAACGGAGTATACTTGAATGGCCTTTGATAGGAAAGTATCATTGCTATTACATGTTATATCACTATTATTTATTGGGGATAAATGTCCCGAATTAAATAATGCGGAGCGAGGCTCTAGTGATAGTTAGTTCGGCCAATATTTTATTGAATATTTAATTTTTCGTGGGGCCTGTTGGCCCACTCTCGATCAGCTTGATTAAGTGATCCGAGCGTCCCCGGAAAGGCGATGCCCCGACGACGCATTTTAATTTGAGGGGTGCGCATTAGTCCGCACGGCACTACGTGCCCGATCGACGATCATACCCCAATGTAATCCGCGCCGCTAGGCGCGAAGTGACTATTGCCAAACGTGGCCTATGGGGCCCGAGGGCACCAAAGCACTCAACCTCGTTTTTCCGAGGGCAGTGCGACTAACTTGGGTCTGAGTTTGAAAACTCACAGACCAATGAGTATTTCTATGTGACGTTCGGCGGGCTGCTAATTGGCCTCGCCGCGAGCTGCTACGTCCCTTAACCCCGCACGATGAGCCGGGCCGAGGGTCACGATGACCCATAGGCCGGTAATCGTGGATGTTAAAGAGAAAGCCATGCAGATGGTTATGTGTGTATACATATTGTCGGGCCGTGCGGCCCGTTACCATGTTTATTGCGCAGCTGAAGCCACTCGATGCGCTCGAGCGAAATGATTAAAAGATGCTCGGCCCGAGTCTTAAAGACATTCAGGGCCAGCTAAAGAGGAGACCATCACGGCTGAGGACCGTGAGACGAGCATCTCCACCTAGAGGCTGAGGGCCTAGAGGAGACCACCACGGTTGAGAACCGTGGGACGAGCATCTCCACCCCAGAGACCGATGGCCTAGGAAGAACACCTAGAGGCCGAGGGTCTAGAGGGAACTATCACGGCGAAGAACCGTGAGACGATCATCCATCATTCAGAGGCCGAAGGCCTAGAGGAGACCGTCACGGCCGGGGGCCAACCGACATCATCATATCACGACCGGCCTCCCGGCACGGCGTGATCATCTTTTGAAGACCGGCCTCGTCCCCGCGCTGCGCGGACGAAGACCGTTGCTGAATTTCTTCCAGGTCGGCCTCTCATCGCCGACACCATTATACCACGACCGGCCTCTCGGCTCGGCGTGCTTATCTTTTGAAGACCGGCCTCGTCCCCGCCCTCGCGGACGAGGACCGTTGCTTGATTTTCTCAGATCGGCCGCTCATTGCCGACACCATTATACCACGACCGGCCTCTCGGCTCGGCGTGCTTATCTTTTGAAGACCGGCCTCGTCCCCGCCACCTCGCGGATGAGGACCGTTGTTTGATTCTTTCAGGTCGGCCTCTCACTGCCGACACTATCATGTTATGTTCGGCCTCTCGGCACGACATATTTATCTTTTGAAGACCGGTTTCATCCCCGCGTTGCGTTGGATGAGAGCCGTTGCTCGGATATATCGGCCTGACCGGACACTATTGCCATCTCCATTATTAGGACCGACTGCTCAGCGACATTGTGATCATTTGTATATCGGCTCCTAATGCCGACCCTCTTGAGTTAGCGATCGGGCTCACCCCTCCCTTCAGGAGGGTGACCATCGCCTTCGCATGACGACCAGCTATTCTATCGCCTCGTCGTTATATTTGTTCGCCATGCCACCACCATTATGTGTGACATCCCGTGATCCCTGCGAGTTTCTTGGATACCGAATTTCTTCTTCGATGTAGGAAGATCGGTAGGACCACGGACCAGGGACGGACAAAGAAGAGCTAGGGAATCTCGATGTAGATAAACCTGTTCCTCCTTGCGAGTTTCGCGGATACCGAACGTCTCTTCGAAGCAAGAGCGCCGGTAGGACCAAGAACCAAGGACGAACGAAGAATATAGATTGCCTCCCTCAAAAAAAAAAAAAAAAAAAAAAAAGATGGGGAGAAGAGGAGGGTAGCTCCTATATGGAAGGGAATCTTGCCCGGGCGTGCCAGATCTTCTCCCACCGCCGAAGACGAACGCCCCTCGATGTAGAGGTTAGTAGAGACGCGGAGGGGGCTAGACGAACCAAGGGAGCCTTGCCAAGATAAACCTGTTTATCCCACAAATGACCATGGATCGATGGACGTGGGATAACAAAGACGGGAACCCGTGAGGGTAGACCAGTTCGTCCCTGCGAGTCCTTGGGTACCGAACGTCCTCTTCGAAGCAAGAGACGTCGGTAAGGCTAAAAGGACCACGGACGAACGAAAAAAGGGGGGAATCTCGATGTAGATAAACCTGTTCCTCCTTGCGATGTCGGCGGACACCGAACGTCTCCTCGAAGTAGGGACGCCGGTGGGACCAGGGACCAAGGACGAACGAAGACTAAAAGACTCCAAAAAAAAAAAAGAGAAAAAAAAAAAAAAAAGAAAGAAAGAAAGATGCCAGAAGAGCACGGAGCAAAGAATGATTTTATCCCTCAGCGCTATTGGCCGGGAAGTACAAACTGAAAAACATATGTAAAAGAATAATTACAAAACTTAAGTACGAAGAATGAGGTGGCCGACGACGATCGGCTAACATCAGGTTTTCTTTTGTCTTAAACGACGAATACCAGCTCCCCAGATCAGGTAGGAGGGACATCGCCCGGATTTATTTCAGGCTCACCATTCCTTCCCGGATGGAGTCCTGGCAGACGATCGGCTTCTCACAGCCAATCAGGAGAGAGACTTGACACATCACCAGCACGGCCGAGGGCCGCGAGAGGCCGAGGGCCATGAGATGATCATCACTATTTTTCTATATCACGATCGGCCCCTCAGCGCCATCGTGTTCAGATTCACGGTTCGGTTCGCTCATTCCCTCCAGGATGGCGGCGACCGTCTTATGCAGCACGATCGGCTTCTCAGCGCCATCGTGTCTGGCTTCACGGTTCGGCTCGCCCATTCCCTCCAGGATGGCGACGACCGTCTTATGCCGTACGATCGGCCCCTCAGCGCCATCGTACCCAGCTCACGTTTAGCTCGCCCATTCCCTCCAGGATGGCGACGAACGTCCTATGCAGTGCGATCGGCCCCTCAGCGCCATCGTATCTGGCTTCACAGTTCGGCTCGCCCGTTCCCTCCAGGATGGCGACGACCGTCTTATGCAGCACGATCGGCTTCTCAGCGCCATCGTGTCTGGCTTCACGGTTCGGCTCGCCCATTCCCTCCAGGATGGCGACGACCGTCTTATGTCGTACGATCGGCCCCTCAGCGCCATCGTATCTGGCTTCACGGTTCGGCTCGCCCATTCCCTCCAGGATGGCGACGACCGTCTTATGCCGTACGATCGGCCCCTCAGCGCCATCGTACCCAGCTCACGTTTAGCTCGCCCATTCCCTCCAGGATGGCGACGAACGTCCTATGCAGTGCGATCGGCCCCTCAGCGCCATCGTATCTGGCTTCACAGTTCGGCTCGCCCGTTCCCTCCAGGATGGCGACGACCGTCTTATGCAGCACGATCGGCTTCTCAGCGCCATCGTGTCTGGCTTCACGGTTCGGCTCGCCCGTTCCCTCCAGGATGGCGACGACCGTCTTATGCAGCACGATCGGCTTCTCAGCGCCATCGTGTCTGGCTTCACGGTTCGGCTCGCCCATTCCCTCCAGGATGGCGACGACCGTCTTATGTCGTACGATCGGCCCCTCAGCGCCATCGTATCTGGCTTCACGGTTCGGCTCGCCCATTCCCTCCAGGATGGCGATGACCGTCTTATGCCGTACGATCGGCCCCTCAGCGCCATCGTACCCAGCTCACGTTTAGCTCGCCCATTCCCTCCAGGATGGCGACGAACGTCCTATGCAGTGCGATCGGCCCCTCAGCGCCATCGTATCTGGCTTCACAGTTCGGCTCGCCCGTTCCCTCCAGGATGGCGACGACCGTCTTATGCAGCATGATCGGCTTCTCAGCGCCATCGTGTCTGGCTTCACGGTTCGGCTCGCCCATTCCCTCCAGGATGGCGACGACCGTCTTATGTCGTACGATCGGCCCCTCAGCGCCATCGTATCTGGCTTCACAGTTCGGCTCGCCCGTTCCCTCCAGGATGGCGACGACCGTCTTATGCAGCACGATCGGCTTCTCAGCGCCATCGTGTCTGGCTTCACGGTTCGGCTCGCCCATTCCCTCCAGGATGGCGACGACCGTCTTATGTCGTACGATCGGCCCCTCAGCGCCATCGTACCTGGCTTCACGGTCCGGCTCGCCCATTCCCATCGGATGGCGACGACCGTCTTATGCATCACGATCGGCTTCTCAGCGCCATCGTGTCCCTTTCACGTTCAGCTCGCCCATTCCCTCCAGGATGGCGACGAACGTCTTATGCATCACGATCGGCCCCTCGGCGCCATCGTGTCCAGATTCACGGTTCGGCTCGTCCATCCCCTCCAGGGTGGCGACGAACGTCTCATGCAGCACGATCGGCTTCTCAGCGCCATCGTGTCTCTTTCACGGTTCGGCTCGCCCATTCCCTCCAGGATGGCGACGACCGTCTTATGCGGTACGATCGGCCCCTCAGCGCCATCGTACCCAGCTCACGTTCAGCTCGTTCATCCCCTCCAGGGTGGCGACGAACGTCTTATGCATCACGATCGGCTTCTCAGCGCCATCGTGTCTGGCTCACGTTAGGGTCGCCCATCCCTTTCAGGATGGCGACGAACGTCTCTTATGCAGCACGATCAGCGCCCCAGCGCCATCGTGTCTGGCTCACGTTAGGGTCGCCCATCCCTTTCAGGATGGCGACGAACGTCTCTTATGCAGCACGATCAGCGCCCCAACGCCATCGTGTCTGGCTCACGTTAGGGTCGCCCATCCCTTTCAGGATGGCGACGAACGTCTCTTATGCAGCACGATCAGCGCCCCAGCGCCATCGTGTCTGGCTCACGTTAGGGTCGCCCATCCCTTTCAGGATGGCGACGAACGTCTCTTATGCAGCACGATCAGCGCCCCAGCGCCATCGTGTCTGGCTCACGTTAGGGTCGCCCATCCCTTTCAGGATGGCGACGAACGTCTCTTATGCAGCACGATCAGCGCCCCAGCGCCATCGTGTCTGGCTCACGTTAGGGTCGCCCATCCCTTTCAGGATGGCGACGAACGTCTCTTATGCAGCACGATCAGCGCCCCAGCGCCATCGTGTCTGGCTCACGTTAGGGTCGCCCATCCCTTTCAGGATGGCGACGAACGTCTCTTATGCAGCACGATCAGCGCCCCAGCGCCATCGTGTCTGGCTCACGTTAGGGTCGCCCATCCCTTTCAGGATGGCGACGAACGTCTCTTATGCAACACGTCTGCCCCTCGGCGCTGACATGCCCGGTTTATCGATGAGAGCCACCGCTTTCTATCACATCTCACATTCCTTCTCTCATACATTGCACCCATACATTACATGCATTCATGCATTCATGCATCATACCTCATACATTCATACATACACACGTGCATCGTGTTTTGACAGTACCGCGACGTCGGTTTATAGATACATGGACCTCTAAGCTTCTCCGATTGGAAAGCTCGAGTCAAAGTCCTTTACTCCCGCCTGATGCATTCAGGGGGAGTGTGCCCGTGGAGGAGCACCCTTCGCCCGACCCCGTCGGGAAGGGGGTGCCTCACCGGCAGATTACGTTCAGGAGTGCAGACACCCACTCGTATATTATGATTATTCGAAGACACAGTTTCCAGCAAGACAGAGGAAGAGCGCAGGCAGAGTATATTTTCTCGAGCAGATTCGCGAGCTCACTACTCAAGAAACTGGGGGACTTGTGTTGGGATATATTATCCCGGCCTATTACTGTTCAGGAGCCCAAGACATTATCCAGTACGGAGCCCGAGCAGCTAGGCCCATTTCGGCCCATCCGGCCCACTTTGACCACCAGGCCTGATATCGGCCCGTTTGGCCCATTAGGGTGGAGAGCCCCTTCTCTCCTTCCCCTATAAATACGGAGCTTAGCCTCCATGTAAAGGATCCCCTTTTTCCTTTCTTCTTCTCCCTCCTTAGCTAGATTAGAACTCCATTAATGGGAGCTTCAAACAAATTGTACTATGTAATGGTGAGGAGAGTCCTAATGAGAAAGAGAGGGCTTGGACATTAGCCTAAAAAGTCCCGTGGTTTTCTCCCTTTCGGGTTTCCACGTAAAAACTGAGTTGTTCATACACATTTATACATATATTTACTATATCGTGTTGGATTAAACTCAACACTGGTCAAATCGGGTAATTGGAATTAATCGGGTTGAGTAATTGTAATTGGTTTGGTTAGGTAACTGTAACTGATCGAATCAGGTAACTATAATTGGTTGGGTAACTGGTTGAGTCAGGTAACTATAATTGATTGGGTAACTGGTCGGGTCAAGTAATTATAACTGAAGTGATAGTAATTGAGATAGTGATCATTGGAACAGTGGTAACTGGAACGGTGGTCACTGAAACGGTAGTAACTGGAACGGTGGTCACTAGAGCAGTAGTAACTGAGACATTTTTCAAAAAATATTCGTTACTACGTATAAATGTATAATAATTTATATATAGAGACTCTATACTTCATATATTTAGAAATAGCATCAAGATTAAAAGGAGCATTAGTTTTTAGAGTTTGCAATGTTAGGCAAGACAATGATAGGCATTCCTACGTGACGGCGTAAAGTTAGCAACGTTCCGGGGTAGTTTTGAAAACTTGGTGGTTATTAATCATATATTTGGAAAATAAAAACAAAGGTCACTTTTTTGTCCTTTACCTCTTTTTTTGTAATATTCATGTCAAAACCCCTTAGCATATTCAATTGGTTCATCTATTTAAGCCTACCAGACAGGTCTTATAATTTATTGCATCGATCTAGCTGGATGTTGAAGTTATTTATCATCTGATTGGACGTGTATACAACAATAATCATAACCAAATTAAGTTTTATTTGAAGAAGTTTGATGAAAATGTATGCCAATTGACAAGATTTCATCAATTAATGATAACAATCATTATCACAATTCATTTATCCAATTGAAAGGAACAAAAAAGTTTTTGTACACACTTTATTGGACATGTTTAGCATTCAACGGTTAGTGGATAGCGAGTTATGTTAGTGGGTTGTCAATAACGGATTCAGTCAGTAGATTTGACTAGCGGAATAAATTGGCTTTTGTTAGAAGATGTTTGGTAATTTAGTTGTTTGGTCATAAAATTAGTACAAAACATTTTTCAAAATGCCAACCTAAAACTCTCCTATTAGTAGTGTTTTCATTTCAGCGATTTTATTGAAAAAATGCTATTGCTAAACCGCTATTTACCAAATAACCCTTTCACTTATTGAAAACGCTGGAAGTGGTCAAATCGTCATTTTTCAGTTGAAACGCCATTTACCAAACACTCCCATTGTCTGTGTTTTTGTTTACTGTGACAGACAAAAGAAAGCTTTCACAGACAGTTTGTGTAAGTGTGTACACAATAAAGTGTGTACAATAAGAATTGTTGCAAGAAGAAAACGTATAATCTGCTTGGTTATAGACTTATAGTTATCCAAAACATGCTCTTACTGTAACACATGGAGCTGGTTTACTTTTTATTGTTATTTTTCATGAAGGCTAAAAATGGCACAGCCTCCATAGGAATTGAACAAATAATCTATCGTGGGGCGCTTATATTTTCCCTTCAAAATATAACAAGGGTCTATGATCAGCGCACAAACTAATTTTATCGGACTAAGATACCGTTGGTTTTAAGAATGCAATAGGGCTACCTAATTTTTTGCAATTAGTTGATTGGGGTTGTAAATTTGATAAGCATCACCAATGGCAACATGGACAAAGATGCTGAGAATTATTTTCTGAATCGGAAAGATAAATGCATTCATTACCCATTTTCACGACCCAGTTGGTAACTCTTTTTTGAGCTTATGAGACTTGACGGTCAATATTTTTGTGAACAACCATTCTTGGTGTACACGTTTTTGTACCCATCAGTACACGCATGTGTCTGTGAGAGTTTTTTTTGTCTGTGAAGCGCGGTCCACAGACATAAGTTGGCTTGTTTTGTCTGTGGAAAATTTCACAGACAAAACAAACCAGCTTTTGTCTGTGGACCGCGCTTCACAGACAAAAAAAAAACTCTCACAGACACATACGTGTACTGATGGGTACAAAAACGTGTACAAAAGGAATTTCTGTTTTGTGAAACACGTACTTTTTCACGTTTTGTGTACTGAATTATGTACGGAGTAATAATCAAATAAGTAAAATTGAATTTACTTTTATGGCTCAATTGGTAACTTTTCCTTTAAATACAATTTTTCTATGATCAAAAGATTGGGTCAATTCACGCGCTTCAACCAAAATTTCATCAATTTGAGCAGATTTTATCAATTTACCAAATTTCAGTGTTACTTCTCGGTTGGACTGATTTTAGTCCAAAGCAGACCCAAATAAATCAAATCTGATCAGATAAATCACCTTCTTAGAGAGTTAGTGGGTAACATTCAATATTTTAATACGATCGTATGCAATAGAGAAACGGAGTGAATGCAAAATTGTAGTCCCTCCATCCCATAAAATATAGATCTTACTGTTGGGTTGTCTAAAAAAATAGGTTCCATTTCCTTTTCTGAAAACTTTTGTGTGGCGATTATTCATTTATTTTTTTCTTACTCAATCACCACCATACTTTATTCTCACTTAAACTCCGATCCAAATTGGAGTGGGAACTACTCGTATTTTATGGGACAAATGTAGTACTTCAATTTTTTCTTTTAAGATAATGAGCATGGGCGGAGCTAGGGGTGGGCCAACCTAGGCCATGTCACACCCCAAATTTTAAAAATACCTTAATTTTTAGTGTAAAAAATTCCGTTATAATTTTTTTTTTCAAAAATATTATTTATACTTGTCCAGTGTGACCCAGTGCTCTGGCTATAATGAGTGTTGTTATGTTCACGTTATCAGGTGGAGAACAAAATAGTTGTCATACTATGAAAGATGTGAAGGTACGTTGTTGGTAGATTCCTCAAGTCATTCCTTTTTTTGATCAGGAATGTGATTTAACACTCCAGGTTGTGTAGGGAAAAAGAGTGAAGAATATTGAAAAGAGATAAAAAGGCTAGCCAGCCACCAAGGCTTGTTGATCAAAACTTGACAGTTAACACACAAAGAATAAAGTCGCATGCAGATCATATATCCGTTAAGTAGGCAATAAGCATAATAGCTATCTACTAGCTACGTACCTGTCAGCCTTGGCGCTGAATATTATGTTCCATATTGTATTCCGTGTTTCTTTATCAACTCGCGGGCAATTCTTTAAGGAATCCAATAAGATTGTTGTGTGAATTCGACTTGGAATTGGAATTTGTACATACTACACATTTAACACATTTTTTTATATGCAGATTAAAGGGGAAGCTTATACTATGCGACTGGTTGTACGGTGCCAGCCGTACAACTGATGACATTTTTGTAATTTTGGTGAAAAACACGACTTCTTTTGAATGAGCAATAATGCAATTTTGTTAAGTATCAAGACTGTTCTTTTGAGTATTAGGAGCCTAAAAATGAGCATTGGCGTTCTCTGTTTCACATATTCTAATTCGCTTTCTTTGTATTACTTTTTCGTTTATAAAAACTCTTAAATTATGTCTGTAATCAATTCCAATTAATTTCAATTTGTAAATTTAATATAGTATGATACGTTTGAAATGTGCAACATTTTAAAATGAGCATAAAGAGGTACCAAATAAGCATGCATAACTGAAAAAATGAGTATCAAAAAATTCAAAAGTTTATTTGTGTATATATGCTCATTCATTTGGCCTTTATACTCAT